TTTCTCTTCTGGGATGACTTTAAAAATCGTTGCTTTTTAGCTTGAGGCTTCGTGTTTGTGTTGTTGTGTTCATTCACGAAAAAGAAAACTGGCGGTGTTTTTCCCGCCTTCTGTCACACCATTTTCCACCACGCTTTGATCACGTGCTGTAATGTAGCCCGAGCGGGGTACATTGCTTAATGGATCACGATCGGGATACATTTTATTTTAGTCAAGGGACTTGACCAAGAATCAACCAATGGCAGTCCCTGTTTAGTTGAGTGAAAGGCTAGGAAAATAAGAAATGATCATGATTTTGTTGTAAGTGGCTACAGCAACGAAAATAAGACAGAAAAATGTGCCATCTAGAATTAGCCGTTGAAGCTTTTTCGAGAAAAACGACTGAACCATTGCCCCATGAATTTCCTAGCAGTACTGTAGCAGTTGCTCGCATGGTGTACAATACAATAGCTTTCACGAGTCTCCTAAATGGAGGAAGAAAACGATAACACACCATTGTTTATTTGCCATTGTTTCACGGCTAGGGCAGCAAACCAATTTTGTTTTAGGGTCCTTATAGCTGCTAAAAAGCCTATGAACTGGGGAAACATCTTACTCCAGGTCTTGAGGTTCGTTGTCAGTGTCTACCAGAAGGACACAGTTTTTCTAAGCTGGTCACATAGAAGGGCTCTGAACAAGCGCTGTGGCTCCCGACCTGGTCGGATCCATGTGGGCACCATATCTGCCTAATTGAACGTAGCATTCATTTGTTGACTATAATGTAATTTCTGTAATGTTAATGACCTGTTTGAAGACAGTGGACCTCTTTCATCTACGTCCTTGTCAAAATATCGCCCTGTTATGATGTTTAAAACTTGACAGACTAAATGCTCAATGTGCAAATATGTGTTTTACTTACGGTTATTTAAAAACACTGTAATTTACACAGAAAGGTCCGTTCTGCAGGTTTGCCGTGTGACAGTAACGCTCCCATCGGAATTTCCGACCCATCAATAATTTCTGACGGTCAGATGAACGCCTCTTCCCAACATGATTCACCTCGTTACAAACCCTACTACGGTAGACTCCACGACAAAAGGGGTGATGGTTGGTGTCCTAGTCCAACTGCCAAGGGTAACGACTCGCTACAGATTGATCTTCGAGACACGTTTGTAGTATGTGCTGTCGCCACACAGGGGAATAGAGATGGCAAAACATTGACTACAGCCTTTAAGCTGTCCTATTCGTCTGATGGAAAGAACTGGACATTTTACAAGTATGGCGATTGTTCTGAAAAGGTAAGTTATTGTTTGCCCTTGCGCTCTCATTCCCCACGAAGCCCCTCACTCCTTACGTCACGTGTGGCACGCATGAGTGTATTTATTTTCTTGGTAGTCGCAGTTACCTAGTATAACAAAGCGTAAACAGGCAATATGAGTTACACTGATTAGAATCGGCTTATTAATCGTCGGTGAAAAAAAGTTTACCGTTGGCAAATCGCAGCCTTTTTCTCTTGTAAATAACAGCGAACTACAGACATAACAACGCTGGATTCAATAAGCTGCTTGAAATCCTCGTCCCTGAAACTCCGCTGAAACGAGAACGGTCACTTAAAATTCAGCGAGCAAGGGGAATGCGAGATACGTACTTCTAGTTAATATAGAAAAAATCTTCCATAATACGTTACGGTTCAGTGATTTTAGGTAGCATGCAAGTTGACGCTGATTACTCCTACAAAATAAGTCAGCCAATGAACACGTTTGAAATTTCAGTCAGCCAATCAAAACTTACATCTTCGACCTAAAAAATAACTAAAAACGTGTCAGACCGGTTGAACTAGGCACGACATAGAGATAGAACATGACTAACCGTTACTCGTACTGGTACCCACATAACACATCACCGCAGCAACATCAACAGGGAATGGGTTGCTTAAGAGCATGCAACACAACAGCCGATCCATCATAGGTATCACAGCGGACCGCGGAGGGAACAGACTCAAGCATGAATAGTGAGGATCAAAGCCCACAGACCATTAATAATAAATTAACCAACATTCATCGTGCTTCAGTAACCCCGAAATCATCACCAGATGAAGCGGTCGAAACGTCGCGATCAACAACAAAGCGACTATCACGATACGAACGATCATTACATGTGTGTATAGGATATTAGCTGTCTCAGTCCGGATACAAAGTTGTCAGACATAAATCTTGTCCCAGCCTGATCTTGTCCGTTCTTTTTAAGTCTGGACGACGATTGTTTAAAGTTGAAATTTGACGATCTACGGTGACGTACTCTGCCCAGGACTCCGCATCCACGTCCTCCGTAGTAGAGGTTGCCGTAGCGGTTTGCTTTAAGTCCCTAATGTTTGTATGCTAGTGCAGAAAAACTCCAAGACGCCAAGCAAATACAAAACTAAGAACACTTTACCTGTAATGCTTACGGTTTCGAATCTTACACCTGATTGACGTTTTCCTCGAAGACATGACATTCAAGAATTACAGTCAACTCTTTCTACACGACGGTCATTATAGGGACCGGCACTAAGTTTGCATCTTAGGCAGATCTAGGCAGGTGGCCGTCATTTGGCAGGAGCCCAGGGCCGGAGCGAGCAACTCCCATTCTAGGCCTATGTCACGGCGTTTTTACGGACCAGTTTATTTTTAGACACATTTTAGGATACTTTTTCCCGCGAAAATAGAATTTCCATCAAGTCTATGAGCGCATTCGAAGTGTAAGATATCAAAAAGGAAAACTAAATGCTATTAAAAGGCAAAAAATATCATTTTTAGGTCTGTAGGTTTGTGGAATTCAAAAGATATTCAAAATTCGCGCCAAAGCGTTCTAAAAAATAAAGAACCTCCCAAGCTGAAATTATGTTTAGAACGCTTTGGCATGAATTTTGAATATCTTTTAAATTCCACAAACCTACAGACCTATGATATCTTATACTACGAATGCGCTCTTAGACATGGTGGAAATTCTATTTTCGCGGAAAAAGTGTCCTAAAATGTGTCTAAAAATAAACTGGTCCGTCAAAACGCCGTAACACGAGCTCATGGAAGTTGCTCGCTCTGGGTTATGGGCTCCTGCATAAGGAAAATCTAATCAGGAAAGGAACGAGAAACGGTTTGATCAAAACTTTTACTTTTCGTTGAATGGAGGTAACCGTCTTATGGAGGTGTCTTTTCGGAGAGAGTTGACGGCATTTCTAGTGTTTTCGACAAGGCTAGGTCATGTCGGATCGACAGTAATCGCAATTACATCAAATAGGTGTTAGACTATTATTATCATTGCACTTGTCAATAACCCCCATATTAAATAAAATAACTATGATTGTTTTTTGAAGGAATTTCAAAGGAAAGGTAGCAGCGATGATGTTGACAAATACATTTTGCCAGTGCAAATTCGTGTAAGATTTATCCGTTTCCATCCTACAAATCGTCATAACCGGAGCTGCCTCAGGGTAGAAGTATTTGGGACAAGAGGTATGTTATGATTTTTTTTGTTGTTACTTCTTTGGCGAGTTTCTGCTTCTGCGAACTGCTAAGAGTTCAACTCTCTTATGGTTTATTAATTAAGGCTTGGTGTGTTTACTGGCAATTTTTGTTATACGTGGGAGCATATTTGAAGGATAAAGCTACGGTCAACTCTCTCGTAACAGAAATCACCATCAAACAGACACTTTTGCAGTTTCTTTTTCTCTGTCGTTCCTCAATTCCTTTAAAACTGGGACACTTAGTGCCAGTTTCGACGGTGTCCATATTGAACAGAATTGAAAGAAAAGTTATACACCTTAGAACAATCACATTGATAATCAATCCCACCAAAAGCAAAGTTCCTAAAAAAAAACGAAGAACAAGAGCTCTCTCACCTAGTAATGTTAAATCCCTTTATGTAGTTCTAGTTAGATCACACTGTATTCAAGCCTAGACTCCGCTGGCGATCTATTTCAGAAATATCATACAAAATGAAATACTTCTACTGAAACAAAAAGAAAAAGCTTATAATCTAATAAGTGGATTCTTTACGATGTTCATGCTTTCCTTGGCGAAATCCAAGAAACTTAAACGAGATAACTGTTATCTTACGTTAAATCTATTTGCGAACGGTGGGATAGCCTGAAATTCATCCGATTGCTTCGAGTCGCTTTGTCAACGACTCGAAGTAATCGGATGAAATTCAGGCTAACGGTAGGAGTCTTCGATGTATTTTCGTGGACAACAATAGCTAACATTTCTGCATATTTCAAATGCATTGTTAGTTACTGCTGTTCACATGAGAATGAATAAATAAATGAATAATAAATCTCTCAAGAATCTCGCGTTTCAAATTATTCGCTTATTTAAGTAGACTAAAATCTATATATATATATATACGCAGTTTAGACCCCTGAAGAAGGCGTAAGCCGAAACGCGTCGGGTCAATAAAGGATTCAAATCAACATATGTAGTCCATTCTCCTTTGTACAAACTATATATATAGCACCTTCCAGTGGCCTCTGTGAACTCTAAGAAATTGTTTGGGGAGTCCCGTGAGCCATAAAGCCTTCAATTCGACTGCGCGTTAGCATGGTTGTCTTGGTGGTGTAATGGTTAACACATCGGCACTAGAAAGTCGAGGACGCGGGTTCAAATCCCGTTCAAGGCAATTTTTAGAGTTTCACTTGTGTTCATTTATTTCTTTCTTTCACTGGTTTCAGTTCATTTGTGTTATGTATATATATATGTATATGTATATGTATATGTATATGTATACATATATATATATATATACATATATATATATATATATATATATATATATATATATATATATATATATA